CTTATGCGTGTGTCAGTGTACCTTGCCTCGGCGAATCAAGTGGTTCCATAAATAATGTAAACTGCCGTTTACGCTTAACAAACAAACAAACAAACAGAGCTTATGATTGCCGTTGTTATTGTTGCATTTTATTTATGTATATTTTTGTTGCGCTCCATTGACCTCAATTTTGAGCTTTACGTTCGAAATATTCTTCTTCTTCAAAATAACGCAAGGACCGGACAAACTCGTTAAATATAATTTTTAATATTTTATTAAATGAAATGTGTATTCAAAAAAAAAAAAAAAAAAAAAAAAAAAAAAAAAAAAAGAAGAAAAAGAATTTTCTTAATTTTGACTACTTTGTGAATTGCTTGTTCTACTACAACTACAGTGGAAATTTTTGCGACCAAAGCATGGACGCAATTGTCAACACGTATATATATATATATATATTCAAAATAACTTTCTATGTTCAGAAGAACAAAAAAAAAAAAAAAATTGAAGAAATATCGGCCAAGCCTAATCCCAAACCGTGGAGAAAAGCCTCTAACATTATTATTTATATATTTGTTACTTTGCCTCTTGCCGAAATTCTTCTAGTCACCTTTTTCAGATCTGAACTTAATTTCAGTCAACTGCTATTATAATAATAATAAAGATCACGATACGGGCCAGAACACGATCTAATTACTATTAAAGATAGCATTCCACATCAATTCTCCTTCTATTTTAAACGCTTATATTACGGCCTAACGAGCCAAAGAAATACTTAAATACACTTCTGATTTTATAGCTGCGCAGCTGAGCCGGCAGTGAAAAGGGAGATACATCCGTTTGCAGCATTGATTTTAAACTTGCCCATGCCTGCATTATGTTCTGAACTTTTTTGTTATAATCATCGCTTTCAACGACGCGACACTTATGTCAGCTGTAGCTGTTGCATTTTACGAACTCTTGCATAAAATCAAATATCGGAGAAGTCAATTTTCTCGATTTTGTCTCCAGGATAGTCGCTATGGCCGATTAGTGTTCATTACTAACACCTGCGAGCAAAACTCGTTTGAAGCGGTGCTCACCGCACTTCATTTCACAAAAATTGTACTCTTTCAATGAAACGCATCCAGTTACCATTCCAGTTTTTTCTAACAAAGGAACGGCATCGAGCATATATGTGAAGTTTTCCATAAAGAGTCCAATTACTCAAAACAGATTTTAACAAACAAACAAAAAGCCGAAAAATTTTGAAAAAATATCACGAACATAAAAAATAGAGGGGCAAATGAAGTATGCGATGTTAACGTTGTTGTTATAAGCGGGATGGCCAAAGTAGTGCATCTCACCACATACTTGGAACACAAAATCGAAATGTTTATATATGGAAGACGTCCGATTAGCATAATTTTTAATAGCGTTCGTCTAAGGGCTAAAACACAATGGTGCATCGAATTTCATCAAAATACCCCAAAAAATGCGGCCTGTAGGTTTCACTCCAGAAACCAAGATAGACACATAAGCTTTGATCGATTGAAAAAGTGATTTTAAGTTGATCGGTATTATGAAAGCTGAGTCTGAGGATGTTGTTTGGATGCTGCATACATCCGCCCAAATTTAAGAGTAGGTTGATACTAAACTTGACTACATCTAATATGGGCCAAATAGGACTTTTTTTCGAATAGCACAGTGGCAGCATTTATAGGAAGTTCTACGACGTCACGTTCCCTCACCAGATGTGACGCGTCCTGAGTAGTATTTATTCAGATCGGTGCAGCATGGCTTGGCTGGTACGCACCCCTGCCAAGTTGAAGAAGTGCGAAAAGGGGTCGGTGGATGGATCTCTGAGAAACCAATATAAGTTCATTCGACATGTGACGATACATTGCCAAACATATTGTTGTAGAAAATGATGGAACCTATTTTGATTAATATACCATTGTACTAATTTTTGTAATAAATTCCTTTTTCAAGGGAAAAATGATCAAAATTTTTGGAAACACCTAACACATGGCAAACATATCTAATTTTTAATAGCAGAAAATTTTAAGCGAATATTAAATGGACCGTATTGGATTAACTACGTTACTTTTTTGGATTCAAAAAAAGTGTGCCTCAATATGAAAAGAAAGTATTGACATGCATTTAATTAATAATTAAATTCGGCGAAACGGTGTACGGTATTTAACATTCGACCTTGCTCAACTGTAATGTTTTTTCATGCTATTAGTAATGAAAGATTTTCTGCAAAATCCGATACACCTCGATCGAACCCAAATTTACATAAGTCGTATGATTTCGAATTAGAGAGATTATATTGCTGCGAGTTGCATACATCTTCGCCCATTCTATTCGCTCTCCATATCTTTACTCCTCTGCCGCTGCCTACTCATTCAATTTTTATTTAATTTAGAGTTGTACTTCAGCATCCAAAAATCATCACGAGGTATTTTTTTCTCGAATCATGACAAAGATTTCAAACACTTCCTTGTGAATACAAAGGGGACTTCAATAATAAGTATTCGATAAGTGATAACGAGTGTCTTCGATGTCAGATTTCAATTTTCAATATGGATACAATGTGATGAAAATTCTAATTCTTTAAAATATTATATTTAATTCCCGTTTTTGTTTTATAATATTGATGTTGCAAATTGAAGTGTACGGTATTCTTTTAAATCTTTTACTTTGCTGAACGATAAATCTTTTACTATTGCTGCTGAAGTCATAAGGTTATTAAATTCATTGACATATAATTATCGAAAGGGTGATAAAAGTTGTTGCTTAGATATCCGAGGCATTTGAACAAATGAAATTATTATAGTCGAGCAAGACCGACCATTAAGAAGGGTCTAAAACGTGCACTGGCGTGGTCCAAATTCGCCAAATTAAACTTGCTATTATAGTCTTTAGTAGTATTCATCTATTTTCGGCATAAACGCGAAAAATAACACTTTCTCGTCAGTAAAGCTTGCATTTCATAAGTGTCGTTTTATTTTATTGGTTACGGTCCGAAAAACAAATCTACATGGTACAAATTCGGTACAGTTAATTTTGAGGTCAAATTTCCGTTGCGGACCAATTTTTATCAAAAATATTAAAGAATTAATCTTGTTGCCATACTACATGGCATTAACAATATATAGACCCAAATTCGGTACGACTGATTTTTATATATTGTTCTTCTTCTTGTTCTAAAATTCGGCAAATAAACAATTCATGAATTATTGCGATAAGGAGAGAGATGTTTTTTCGTACACCAGATTACAATTATGAACCAATTGTCACTTCTTCTTCTTCTTGTCGAAGGTTCAGCGGATTAACAACAGACAATTCTCATTGCGAAATATTAAACAATACACGAGGTTGCCGTATAAAGGCTTACTTTTCATAGGAACGACTACAAAAAAAGGCGGTTCAAAACATCGACTCATCGATACTACATTTTTCTTATCAATTTAAGAAGCCCACAAGCCAGCGTTTTTTATAGAGAAAATTGCATTTTTTTTAAAAAAGACGTTATAAGGGATAGTTCGCCTAAATTCATTTTCGAAAAGATTCATTTTCAAAAAGAAAGCTAAAAATGTCATACTTGTGCGATTTGCAGATTAACAGAAAAGCAAAGAATAACGGCGATCGATGTAATAGAACACGTGTTTCCTAAGTCCTTCTAGGTGTCAAATGCATATGCGTAACTCTAATACATCCTGCAACACGAATGGTGTAGGATATGATTGTGATGGATTGTCTTAAAGTAGCACTGGTTGTTTGCTTGTATTTCTAAATTAAAATTAACGGCAAAATGTTTAGGAAATTCGCCATTGAAACCTTTTACCTGAATGCCCTAAAGGTTTGGAGAAAAGATTTCAACTGAAACGACAACAATGTTTTCTTTATTTTTTGCTATTCAAATTAACTTCTCTTGAACATTATTTTCAATTTCATGGAGGAAAGTAATTTTTTTTTTGTTTTTTGCAAATGATTTTTTAACGGTTTATCTTTATACGCATTATTTAAAGACGAGGGCATATTATATATTCCTTTTGTCAAAACATTTGTAAGATCCAGTACAAAGCATCAGAGACTCAATAAAATATATTCATTCTCGATAAGCATGCAATTTTAAAACTGCTTGAGCATGTCTGACTGTCCGCCTGTGGTAAACATTCTTCTGGTTGCAAAATTGCTCAGTTCATTCACTCTAAACAACCCAAGTAAAAAAAAAACCTGCATTTGATTGATTAGTTTATTTAATCAATCAAAGTCCCTTTGTTATTCAATAACATTGCTTTATTTCATAAGTAATTGAATATATTTAAATAATTTTACAAAAAATAAAATAAATAAATAAATAAATAAAAATTATTATTATTGTTATAATTAATAGCACTCATGAAACGAAGCATGACGTTTGCAATGTAAAATAAAAGAAAAATGTTTCGCATAATGAGCAAAGAGTATAAAAGCCGACCGAGAAAAATTACTTATAGGAGAGAGACCTTTAAATATGTACACAAACGTATATAAACAAAAGCCTGCAAGTGGAGAGAATTGACACAAAGCAGAATGACAAAATCAAAAAAAAAAATGAAAAAAACCTGAAGATAAAAGTAAACCCATCGAAAAGCGCACACACCCACACACAGCCGCATTTGCTTGCACACAAATGCAAAAAAAGGATAAACCGTAATAATTAAGAATGAGAAGCAAAGAAAAATTGAAACAACTAACAGAAAAATAAGATTGAAAGACAGAGAGATGGCGTAGCAAAAAGAAAAATACACATACACGCATAACCATGCTTAGCCGTCCGCAAATGAAGGTCTTTGCATGATAATGCCGTTCTTATTTTTGTTTCAAATAAATACAACGTTCGTCGTTGAAAGTTTCTAACTCTCTACGATAGATGCTCGTATCAGATATGATCCCACTAATATGCATACATAGGCCATAAACACAAATGAGGTCACTTGTTAAAAAAAGAAAAGATGAAATAAATGTATTATAACTAAATAGTATAAACTTGCCATTTAAATCCTTAGTTAACTGGGAACGTGTCGACATCTTGTAGCCGTTTTTGCTTTCTTTCACCAAAAATAGCAAAAACAAAATTTGCAGTGGCAGGGAAAGTCTTAATGACAACGACCACAACAATATTACGATGATAATAATGAAGATGAATATGTATTCGTTTTTTTCTCTTTCTCCACCACGAATTAGTTAAGGTAGAGAAATAAATTTGTTATTAGCAAAAAAAAGAAAGAAAAAAATACAAAACAAAAAGAAAAAAGAGTGCGGTAGTGTGAAGATATATGGGTGTGTTTGTACGAGTGTATATTTTTCAGGTTGATTATTTTGAGACGACTTTTTAAAACAGGATTTTTTTCTTGTCTTCTTTACAAACTTGGCCTAAGATGAGCTTTTAACTTCTTTTTCTTCTATTTTTGTTGCTACTGTAAAATAGAAGAAACGATTCCTCCAGTCTGCAGTGAGTTACCATTTGATTTTGTTCTTTTATTATAGAGCCGCCGCCCGCCTTAATGTAGATGTTTTTTTTCTTTTTCAAAATATTAGCCGTAAAATCACTTATTATCAACGCGAAATAAAATAATGTTAATGCTTTCTTTTTTAAATTTGATTAAAAACTTGTTTTAAATTTTCTATAATTTAACTCCACACTTTTTTCATTAAACATTTTGTGCATTTAATTCCTTCCTTGCTTCTACTCCGACTATCTAAAACTGATAATTTTTTTAAAACACTTTGAAAACAACCCCAACGTTTTATACACTTTGTGCTTTGATTACTGCTCCCTACGTGCATTAACCAAAACATACTTCATTTTAAAACGCATTACAGAAAGAAAAAATGAAAATAATAATTAAAAAAAGTAAAAATTTTAACAAACTTATTATTCAAGTATTTATTTATCACTTTAACTCTACAATTTTAATTTTAATAGAAAGAATTTGCAATAAAAACCAGAGCAAAAATCTTAGCAATTTTCCGCATGCCCAAAAGTTGTTAAGCGCACGCTTTCAACGCTTTCAAATGAAAATAGTGACTGAGATTGAGAGGAGATTTCTCTGGATACTCTTACTTGGCAACATTTATATGTTGTAAACTTTTTTTTGCTCAGAGTGAAATTTCTTCAACTTGGCACGACTATTTTAAAAAGAATAGAGAGAAATAATAAAAACCATATGTTTGCTTGGGATATTAAAATTTCTCAAACTTTATTAAACTGACTAGGAAGAGTTTCGCAATTTTAATAATTTTTTGACAAGAATGATACGTTGACTTGTTTTTCGGGTTAATAAATCCCAAGGAGCAAACACATGAGAAGGCGCGTTATAATGTTATGTTGTAAGAAAATGTAAGGAAATTGTAAATTCTAAACCTTGTCAACAAGACATATAAGCTTTCACAGTCAAATTATGAAACTGCTGCCTTTCACACTCTTTTTATTTTCGCAATTTTCAGTTCTTTCATATCACACTTCATACACATGTACTGCATTACTTCTTACACTACGAGAATTACTTCGCACTTTTCTATCCTACGTGGCGGACGAGTAATATGCAAAATCAACAAAACATTAATCAAATATAGTTTAATTAAAAAATACAAAATAATAAAACAAATAAATAATAGCAATTACGTACCAAAAATAGTCTTAAGTAAGGCCCAAACAATGAACTTTGTGAATTCACATTGCACCTTTTTAACACATCCGTTGATGATGAAGGAGGTATACCACTCCAAGCCGATCATACATCGTCATGTCTCGCGTCCACGTCCACATTTGCATAATCTTGAATTTCATGTATTGTAAGCCGTCATTGGATGGAGCAGATTTGTGTCTGTGATGTAAACAATCGTACGAAAACTCTAGTAAATCGTCCAACATTGGGTTACTTTCCGGGTAACGAGTTGGCAACAAAATTAGAAAATATTCATAAAGAGGTAGCTCCCAAGGGCTTAGATAATATAACCACAACAATGCGTGGTTCGTATGCAAACGAGCATACATATAAAAACATATTTATCACTTATATGCGAAAGAAGCGCTTGTTTCACTAACGAAGAAATTGAATCGTCTATGACAAATTCCCCACCAGGCGCGCCTGATCTAAGTTTGCTTTCATTCAAAGGTGCATTTCTTGCTACCACGCGTTCCCAATACATGCATGAAATCGATATACGATCATTGGATTGGTACATAGCCCCCTTTACAAATTATAAATATCCCTAAGAGGAGTATGAGAGACGTAACAAAGAGAAGGATAAAAAGTGTTTAGTTCAAGTCGAAGAGCTTATTGATGCACATTGTAAGAAGGAAAAACACGTCACAGGTACCAATGAAAGGCGATGGTGGCCATCATGCGTCTCCAGAATTTTTTCAACAATTGTAATGCATTTGTAAAAAGAACGACATTTCGTTATTATCATATATCTTTTACATTATTTGATCTACTTTTGAATGATATTGCAATACAATAAATTAATAATTTAAATTATTTATAACTTACTTAATAAACTTACTTACTCACTTACACTTTCAATTACGATAGGTATAAAGCTACGATTAGCTCCACTAATTTCTGGGCATTGCCAAAAAATAACCCAGGTCGTTGTTGTGTTATTTACTGTATGTACTGTGTACTTATTTACTATATATGTTATTTACGGCTGCACATTGCCACACAATACATTAATGTCTTAAAACAAACTTGAATATTCTTACAGTTTTTATTAGAGGATCTTTTACGCATTATATAGCCTCTGCTTCTGTGGTAAGTATACTCTTTATCTATTTGTGCCTAAGTCGCTACTGTAACTGTAAAGAATACAGTCCTTTGCGAGAAATCTAACATTTTACCCCATTTGCATAAATTGCTTCTAGGAGCAAACTATTAGTTATAGGTAGCGCAAACAGTTCTAATAAATAAATTAATAGTTTTAATTGGGGAGTCAAAGTTATCGGTTTTATCATCAAACGTCCCGTCCAACTATCCCTTATACCCTCCTCTTCAAAGGAATGCAGAGATAAAGTTTTCAAAGCAAATGTGTCCCAATCGACAAAGCAAAGCATTCCTCATTGAACCGCAAAGTGAAACGCCATCGGATGAAAATAAATACAAACTCCAAAATTTGACAATTTGGTAACAATTCTTTTTCACCATTTTTCTTATTTATTAAAAGCAGCTCTGTGCTCTCTCCATTCTCCACAGATGGTACTTTTTTTATAAACGATGTGAAGGAAAAAACCCGCTAACGGTTTTTAGCGAGAAATCAAAGCCATTTTACAAGTGCAAAAAGAAGTTGTGCGAAGTAAATAATTGTGAAAAAATAGAAATATATTATAAAAAAAAAGAAAAAACCAAATAAAATTTTATATTGCATTTAAAATTACTATTGCGTTAATCAATTTAAGATATATAAAGACATAGTAAGAAAGTGTATAAAATAAAAAAAGGCCAAAAATTATCTAAAAAATAAAAATTCGTATTGTATTAAAAATTACTGTTGTGTTAAATAAATTCGAGATATATAAAGAATTTGTAAGAAAATGTATAAAAGAAAGAGAAACACGGAATCGGACCTGAGTAAATTCATAGTGATTATTTGGAAAATGTTTTTAAAAAGAGATCCATCTGAGATTCATATAGTTTCTCTGGAAATCTCAATGGTGCCTCCTTATCAATTTTGTATAATCGACGTAAATGCAAGCAACCTGCAGCAAAAAACTCTTATGTAATTCAAATATATATATTTATATATATATGATAAATTGTGAGATATATTAGATTTTCCAATTTCATTTAATTAAGTATCTGCATTCGTTAAGCTTTAACTTCATTTAACTTGATACATTTCTTTCGATCAAGAAATATATTTGGTGTAATGAAGAGTCACGAGGAAATATCCTAAAAATCTTTTTTCTCTTCATGCAAATTTTAAAAAACAATAAAGATAATACAAAGTTCTAAAATTAAGATGGTTATCTATGCTAGTTTTTATTTAAATTTCAACTGACACATCAAACCATATGATAATTCCCATAAATACTTTTTAATTTTTTTATTTTAAGTAAAGTCCTTAAAAATGCAACCAAGCCACTATGTATCGCGTCCGTAATGTGCGGATTTTCCAAATTACACAACGAAACGGATAAATAAGTTACTAAGGTTTCATAGCTTTATAAGATGAAATGAAAAAGTTTCCTAAAAAAAATAAAAGCAAAATCAAGAAGGCGTCATTTTCATTTCCCGCTTAAAAACTCCCAAATGGTAAACACAATGGACAGTCGCGCTACCATATTGTTGTACAGGAAATTCTAAACAAAAACACATGGTTTGAGATGTAAGCAAAAAAAACAAATTCGTGAAGTATAACAAGGAAGTTAATAAAAAAACAAACAAACTTGTTAATTGATTACAAATAAAGAAGATTGATTAGATATATGTAGATATATACATTAGATATACATATTATTTGTGTATTAATCGATTCGTAATTTATGCCTTTCTAGTAAAACATTTTGATGATAATATAAACCGTCTTAGATCAAAATTGCAAATGACATGATACAAAGACAATGTACATTAGTGTAAGATTGACATAAATTAGATAAATAATTTATAAATGTAGAATAAATTGGTTTTATTTCTCCTTGTGAGCAAGACGTCGATTCTCATAAATTTTTGTAAGAAGTCGCCAAAGTTGAAAGTGTCAGCTCCCTTACTTTAGCTATTTATCTCTTCGCCTTAAAGACAACAAGAACGACTTTCC